GAGGACGTTAGGAAGAGGAGTGTACTTTAGAGTATATAGCTTGAGCCTGCGGCCCTTCACGCCATATACCCTTCGGGAGGTCGGCCGCAAGGGCGGTTGCGCCCTTGCCGCCTCGGCGTTAAATACAACAACAACAACAATAACTCTGCTTATGTAGTTTATCAAGCCCGAACGACAAGACTCCACGTGAAACAAACGTGGAATTGAGGCATATTCCCATGACAACAAGTTCTGTGGTAAGCCGTAACATAAAATGAAACATCATCGTACTTCAACACAAAGTGAATATGCGAACGGAGGAGAGTCGATAGAGAAACCCATATAGAGAGAAGTTAGAACTAATGAGACTTGTTAGACAAACTCCACCGACAGGCCTTTCATTGGTATCTCCACTCGACGTCCTCCCAGCCCTGCCTTCTCGTCAACGTTGCCTTCTTCGACTTGCTGCCGTATATAGGCGATCGCAAGCCAGAATGCTCGAAGAGCATTGCATGTCCCGGCACCTGAACCCCCTTCACCTCAAAGCCGACAGCCAACACGGCAAGTGTTCCCAACAGCTCAGAGAAGGCAAAGTTACGACCAGGGCACAGATGCTTGCCACCACCAAAGGGGACGAACGATTCTTTGGAGCCCTTGGTGATCTCAGGAGTCGGCCTGAGCCATCTCTCCGGGTTGAAGGTCTCCCTGTCATCACCCCAGACCTCTTTTTTGTGCATGACAGAGGCGCTCCACTGGACCTCGATTCCCTTCTTCAGGAGATACTCTCGTCCCGTCTCATGGTCAGTCAGAGTGGTGTCCTTGTTCATGACCATCCTTGCTCCAGTGACAGTGTTCTCAAAGCGAAGAGTTTCGCGGTAAGAGGCAACAAGGTAAGGGCACTTGTTTCCAAGTGCCATGACGTCGACGTTTGCGACGCGACGGCCGCCTTCTTCAGTGATGGTAATGACACCAGAAGTCTCTACCTCCTTTCGGAGACGATCCAGATACTTTGGCTCAGAGAAGATGTTGACCAAAAGCCAGAACATTGACGGCGCCGTGTTGACCGTTGATGCAACGGGAAGCGAGTCCATAGCACCGATTGTCACGTCGGGGAGGCCGAAAGATCGCCAGAAAGCTGCGCGACCACGAATCACAGCTGAAACAGATTCTCCTTGGTCGAGCTTCTGCATATAGAAGCCAGCCAAGCCCTTGACGATAGTCATCCTGGCCTTCAACGCCTTGCCAGCAATGATCTTGGTGAGCCATCCATACTGAAGCTTTCCGAGGCCTGTCTCATATTTCCTAGAAGAAAACGAATTAAGTATACCATAGAATTCTTTTTGAGACGTCGAGGAAAGTTACGTACCAGATAGAGTCAACCAGCTCAGGATTGTTGAACGGGCTGTGCTCTCCATATAAGGCCCGGGTGGTGGCGGTGCCAATGATATCTCTCGTCCAGTGGTAAAAGTCGCTAATCTCAACGGGAGACCCAGACTTGACAGCGTTGAACCGGTCGCCGATGTAGTGCAGTGCGTTCAAGTTCATGTTCAGTAAGTTGTCTCCGGAAAGAGCTGCAATGGTGATCTTGGAAATCTCTTCGATGGCGTTCTCCCGAACAAGCCTCCTCGTAATCGTCACATCAACACCCATTGCTTGGGCAATCTCCTCAATGCGCGCACCGAACTCCAAGGTCTTGTTGCGCATAGCGCTTTGGACCAGAGGTGCCGTGTTGATCACGTACATCTTTTTGTTAAGAAGGGGAAGGGTGCAGATAGGCAGCTTTGTGCTTTTGCTGCATGATTGGCCGTTAGTACATGTCATCGCCGCCGAGACATCATAGTATTGGAGTTGTGGCTGTGAATACTTACGCGAGCTTTTCATATACTCCCGGGAACTGGGTGTGAACGCCGAGAAGATGGCCTATGATTGGTAAGTTGCCCTTGAGGACGGGAGGCTCGCGAGGGTCAACGGGCGCGGAAATCAGCTTGTCGATAACAAGGAGCAATGCGAAGACAACAGCAAGAGCTGTGGCAACCAAGGAGACCGGAGAGCCTGAGGTGAGGCGCCCAAGCAGCGTCGCTGCAGCCGTCGCATCGATAGGTACCTTGTCCGCCATGGTTGCAAAGAAGAGCGGACGAGCAATAGAAGAGAACAAATGTAGAGGGGAGGAGGATGGGAAACTGCAAGAGCTATGAGATGAGTGCCATCTGTAGGCCAATTTATATCAGTCGACCCGCCCAATGGTATTGTTAACGGCATCTGTCAAGCCAGCTTGACAGCATGCTATGCAGTACAACAGTTCGGGCATTGAGTTCGGATGGTGAAACCTTCTCAGGCGTTGTGCCTCACTTCGGAGATGGGACCCTTACTGGCGGCTATTGCCAATTCATGGAATTTCATTGGGGATTACGCTGAATGTCGCTAATCTGCCGCGGTTGGGCCAATTGAAGGCCCCTGTAGCGCTTGGCCAGTTGCCCAGACGTATCACTGCCACGGTTGATCTGGCCGACCGTTGCAACGCTCCGCTCTCGGTCTCGGTTTCGGGGTCTTGCGCAGTCACATACGATTCCGAGAGCCGGTGTTATTTGATATAAGAGTCGTAGATGGAGAAAAGGAAAATGCAATGTAGAAACAAGCTAAGCGATTGCTGCATTCATTGATACCAAACCCACCCATCATCTACACAGATTCATTGCTCATTTCAAATATCATGGCGACCATTACTGGACTACGTGTCATTGTCGCTGGGGCGGCCACTGGTGTTGGTGCCGGCACCGCGAAACTGCTCGCCGCCCGTGGGGCCAAGGTTGTCGTAGCCGACATTAACATTGCCGCAGCAAAGGATGTTGGTGCCGAGATCAACAATGCTGGAGGCAGTGCGACCGTCATCGAGTTCGATCTTGCGGATGAGCAGTCCATCAAGAATCTCATCGAGAAGGGCACTGAGTGGCTGGGAGGGCTTGACAGCCTGCTGAACATCGGGGCCGATCTGAACCCCAAGACTTTGGGCAATGACCGAGCAGTGCACGACATGGATGCTGAAATCTGGCATCGGACATTCCAAGTCAACACGACAGGTTACGCCTTGACGACGAAATATGCTCTTCCCCACCTGAAGCAAGCCAGTGGCGGTACCATCATCAACATTTCCAGTGTAAGTCCAATTTTGTGGCATTCTAACTCATGTTGATGACTGACAAACCGCAGATGGGTGGGCACTACTTGGGTACTCCAGAGCCACTCAGAGTGGCCTACGCTGCTTCGAAAGCGGCCGTGCATGCCTTGACACGTCATACAGCCACGACATATGGCAAGGACAATGTCAGGTGCAACACTGTTGCCCTGGGGCCTATCTTGACTGAGACTCTCCAGAAGTCCATCAACGCAAGCCCTGCCATGCAAGAGGGCCTAAAGAAGGTGCCGCTGCAAAGGTTGGGGAAGCTGGAGGAGGTGGCAGCTCTACTGGCATTTATGATATCCTCAGATGCGGCATATGTCACGGGTGATATCTGGTCAATCAACGGAGGAACTCATGTCATGACCTACGCTTGAAATGATTGATTGAATGGAACTTCAACGTCATAATGTGTACAGAACCTCAAGCTTGCGATAAATACGAGATAAAATTGACAGTATGTACTTACGGATAGGTTTTTAAAAGACAGCAGTCATCGACTAACGTCGCTCTACCAAGTGCTTTAATTTCGGCAAGACAAGACTCGCATGTGTTTGAGAGCCTCTGAAGGCTTATGCAATTCCAGAGTCTGCATGTAATCTCAAATTTGGCGACACACAGGTTCGTATGCTAGGTTGCAAATTACACCACAGACGTTCCCCCAGGCAGTATTGTGTGAGGTTGCTTCCACCTGGCTTCACCAACACATCATATTCAACCGCACGATGTAGGTAGAAGTTCAGACTCTAGCAAGCGTCCCAAAGGCAGACAATAAAATCTGTGGCTGTGTTCCCAGTGCACTGAGTTCAGCGTTTCTTGGCTCAATCTGGCTAAAGTCATAGGTTCTTTAAGCCAGAATGTCAGTCTTGCTTCTCAACTTTGACGATCACCGGGACCAATGAAGGGTAACACCGAGAATCCAGTGACAAGCCTGTGGTGGAGTTGTGCTCCAGACCTCTTAGTCTTTAGCTGTGAGAGGCGAGCGTTCCTCTGTTGACTCTAGCAAAGTGTACTAGGCATAAGCTTAGTGACATTTGGGAGGCGATGACTGAATGTTTTCACTAGTGGGCAGCCACGAGTTCACCCATTTTGGTAAAAGATGTTCCATTCATGGTAGGAGCTGCGGCTGAGATGATTGAGATCTGCTAACGTGAAAATCCACTAGTTTGACGGCTGGATGGCCACCAGTCACGACGCAGTATTAAAGCCATCGATATGAGCGGCGTGGCGGGGAAGTCTAGTTGACATGCTTGTGGCGTTGCCAGCGCGTAAAATGGACCCTAGCGTCCATTGTTCAGCAGCTTGCTTTGTTCCCTATTGTTGAAGTCTATGAAGCATCAGATATAAAACCTACTGTCCCTTTGATGGACCTTCCAAGTCATGAGATTGTTTCATCGCAACCCAGTTCATCATCAATCATCCTCTCTCACCACACAGCATATCGTAATGTACATTTCTCGCCTAAGTTTTGCCGCTACTCTTGCCTGGGTGTCTGCTGTGACAGCAGCACCGGCTGGCCATTGCAATGTAGTGGACGCAGTCTATGCAATCTTGAGAGGACCCCTGAGAGCTGAGGCATCCCAGTTCTGTCTGGGCTACCTCGGAAGTGTGAAGACCACCACAGTAACAACGGTAAGTAGTTACACATGCGTCTTTTTCTCTGGTAAATACAGATGCTGACCCTTTACCAGACGGCCACACAATCAGGTCCGGGCCGAACTGCCATAATCACGGTGCCAGATCAGACCCAGGCACAAATTGTCACCTTGACCAACGTTAACCAACAAACGATAACCAACACAATTACGGGAGAAGTTTCTACTGCCACTGTGACGGTCACGGTCACTGCCGGAACCAAGACTATCTACCAAAAGAAGAAGCGTAATAACCGTCCTGCATGCCCGCCTGCTCTGCGTCTTTTCGCCGAGAGTCGTATCTCAAGTGCCTGCAGCTGCATCGCCCAACCTACCACTAAGACCATCACCGCCACTGCCAAGGTGACCGTATCGGGACCTCAAGCTACACAGACCGCCCCCGGGAAGACCGTAATCGTCACTGGTACTCAGACGGTTCAGGTCACCAGCCAAACACAGGTTACCCAAACGGTCGCCGGAGATGCAGTCACGCAAACCGTCACCACCGCGGTCACCCCCATCCTCGTTAAACCCAAAATCTGCAACGCGAGAGGTCTCCCAGGACCAAACGCATTCAACTATGACGCAAACTTCAACACCAACCAGGCTGACTGCATCGCCTCATGCAAGACAGATAATAGGTGCCTCAGCACTGGCTTCTACATCGTAACCGACCCTGGCAGTGGTACGCAGACTGGAACCTGCAGGAAATACGATAAGTCTGTCACTGATTCGGCGGACCTTGGTCCTGGATATTACAACTTCAACGACAAGGCTTGCTAAGCTGTTGAAAAATCCAATGACGAATTGCCTATCTCTTGATGTGCTCGGGAAACAGACTTAGATAGACGCAAGTAATACACAAGTCCCTTTTCCTGCTAAACCCATCCGGATGCCATTCCCGCTCAACATCCCTTCCCGCGGACCCTCTTCCGCTCAATCTTTCTTGCCTCTGCGTTCGACTTCTCTGATTTACGCTTGGCTTTCTCTCTAGTCTTCTTCTTGACAGCCTCGATTCTCGCAGGCAGTGGTTGAGGCGAGGGGTTGCCCGTGGAATCCCACATTCCCTCCCCGATCCACGGGTTCTCAATATAATAGTACCTGTACCAGCGCCCAACCCGGTAATTCTCCAAACAGTTTCGCCAATACCGTTTGTTATCACGACTAGCCTCGTGCACCTCATTTTGCTTCACGGTCAAGCCGTTGAGGGCCCTCTGCTCAGCGTCACGAGCAGCCTTTTCTTGGACTCGTCGTGCCTCCGTTTGTTTGGAAGACGGCAAGCCATAAAACTTGATAAGAACCTCCCTGTCAACTAATGAGTCTGGAATGGCGACATGAACCGAGTGGTGGTCGTTGAACTCGTCAAAGCCGTCCGGGATTTTCCAAAAGTCCTCCCAAATCACAAGATAGTTCGGGTCCACCCCAAAGAAGCGGGTCTTCACAGCCGTGTTGATTTCGAACAATGTTTCCAGGAAGGTTGCACACTTGGTGTCTGAAGAGCGTTCTGATCCTTGCAATTCTTTGATGTTAAGAGGCTGAACGGCTTGGACGTAGATTGTTGACCAGTGCAAACGGAAGTTCTTTCGCGACACGCCTCCGAAGCCCATGAAATCAACGTCAGGGTCTCGACAGAATGGTATCAAGCCGACCATTTCAATCTTGAGCTCTGGATTCTGCAACCAAGCCGCCTCGTACAACTCGCGATTGGTGAAGATGAGATGTGGGGGTACCTGCAACGATGAAAGCGCCGACAATTTTGAGACAGAGGGCCAGAATAGGGATTGGCTCCATTCTCGATCGACCTTCCAGCCTGATGCGTCGAAGTATCTGATATGGTCTGACGCGCCCTGGGGTTCCGGGTTCATGATGCTGATGTGCTTGATCCAGGTGAGTGTTGCGGTGCGCAGCTCATAATCAGTTGCGCCAACGACATCCCATCCACCCAAGCAGCAAAAGGTGTTGCGAGACCAGAAGATTGGGGCTGACTCTTCGTGTATCTGGCGATTGGCCAACAACAGGTTCGTTCCCTCTCTTTTGCCGCAATCACAGTCTGGGATAGTTTCGACGCCGTCTTCGTCGATGTCAATCTGTGTCATGAGAAACGGTGGAGGCTCCGACTTTTGAGGGTTGAAAGTCTTGAATTTGCAATTCAGTTTGTGTCTCTTGTCCCATAGCAGGACTGGATCGATGAGAACCAGCTTGTAAATCTGGTATCGAATGTCGATGGGGACAGTCAAGAATCCGAGTTTTCTTGGCCGGGGAACCGCCCATTCCGATACCTTCGGCCGGACACTGAGTACGATCTGCGGCATCTTGAGAGAGATGGCTAGGGTAGATGTGGTATCGGGGCGTCTCGGCCAGAATGAGGAAATGAGTCGACTGGAAAGAAACGACGAGATATCTTCAATTCTCTACATGCAATAACACAATTTTGTATTATTTCACTTGCCACAGACTTTACGTCAGAGTATTCTGGCACGTTCATGAATGAGTTGGTTGTCCCAGAAAGTAGTACAGTGTGAACGTGTCTGTCATTGATGCTTTGAGTGCATCGATACAAAGATCAGGTCGCAATTTTCGAGCGCCTTCCATTGCAATTACAAAGTCGGGCCCCAATGCTCAGTATCCTCGTATCCTTCAACAAAGCGATTAGCTGGACCTTTCCAATCTTCTCTCCATCTGCTCAGTGGCGGGCGCCCTTCTACAGCATCGCCTGCGCTCCACAGCATTCTTGCTCGGTCTAGAGACTCCGTCACTTCATTATCCGGACAAAGAACCCAGAACTGGTCTTCTTGCATCTTCTTCTCCAAGTACTCCACCACCTGTTCCGGCCACCATGCACCATCAGGCTTGGAAAGACTCGTCTGAGGGATCCTCCCACCTATGCCGGTGTGAGTCCATCCAGGAACGAGAAGATGCACCGATACGCTTTCGGTATTTCGCAAGTCAAAATTGAGCTGCTCCGCGATGGAATTTACTGCAGCCTTAGACGCATTGTACGCAGGATAGCCGGGCGGATTCGTAATGCCCTGCTTTGAGCCGGTGATGACTATAGCAGATCGACTGCCAGCTTCGGCGCTCGCTTTGACGGTCGGAAGGAGTGCGCCAATGCCGCAGACCACTCCAAACACATTGGTGTTGAAGGTGGTATGAAAGGAAGCCACAGAGTCAAAAGAGGATTCAGGCTTAATCCCTGCGTTCAAGACCAAAAGAGCAACACGGCCTGGAGGCTGGTCAGTAAAGTCCCCATAGGCAACCAACAGAGGATACCATTACGTACCCGAATATTCGTCATCAACTATCTTTTTCAACGCTACCCAGTCATCAGACTGACTGACGTCCATGTGAATTGCTTTGATGGATTGACCGTATGTTTCCATGACATACTTGACGGCGTGCTGGTCATTGTCGCAAGCGAGGACGAACATGCCTGCTTTGACACATTTTTGCGCAAGTGCCAGACCAATGCCAGAGGCTCCTCCGGTGATGATGGCGAGTTTTTCCTTACCAAACAGCTTCTCCATGATTTTAATCTGTAATTAAAGGCTGGCTTTAGAATGCTGGGTCGAAATACCAACTTCACTCAGAAAGGGCGTCTTTCATAATCCAAGAGACTGCCCTGCTAGTGAATGCAGTGACGGAAGGCGACAGAGAGTCGCTAATATGAGGCAAAGGATTACAAATCCATTTTTCCGTTGACAAATGCGCACACATAGAGATACAAAGTTTCTTTCATTGCGCCAGTAACATTGCGCTGAAGTCGTATCTTCGTTTTATTCCGACATGAGGCCGAAAGTAGGCCAGTCATTTGCGCCGGGAAATGCATCCATTGACGGAGCTCGGCCGATATTCCGGTATATATTTCCCGATAGCTGCAATCTAAGTGATTTCTGAGGTCCATCCATATGCTTTCCTGTACTTTCGTTACACCAAGTCTGATCCACTTCCCCTTCTTGTTTCTCCGTAATGGCCAGCGCTGTGGTTGTTGCGATCCACGAATCCATGTCTGTTTTGCGATATATGTCCATTCGGGCTCCCTTCATGCTCGATCTGACTTTCCTTCATTTCTCTGTTCCTGGAGACTTGGGTAGACGGGCTACCATCGATTCCATACAGAAACCAAAGAACAACTCCAACCATCAACGCGCCACCAACGATGTTACCCAAAGTGACGGGGATGACTGATTGGTAGATGAATTTCCCAACGCCAAAGTTCGTCCCATAAAACATTCCAATGGGAACAAGGAAGAAGTTTGCGATCGAGTGCTGATAGCCGAGGCAAACACTACACAATAGGCGTCAACTCAAAGTCATGTTGTGAGGCGTCGAGAAAGGAATTAGACTCACAACGCCCATATCGGTATCCAAATGCCAACGATCTTTGAAAATCCATCCCTGCAGCTTGAAGACATGAACACTGCCAGACCAACAAGCCAATTGCAACCCATGCCTCTCGTAAAGTTATAGCCCCAGTTGATGTTCACTCTGCCCTCTGCCTGAGTAACAGCGTACGTGGATTGCGCATCGGACTCTAGCGCATTACTCCACCAGGAAAGGACTCCCGCGAAAAACAGACACCCTGCGAGGTTGAAGATGTAAGAAACTGCCCAGTTTCTTCCAAGGTCGTACCATGACGTCTTGCGTTGCAGGGTTGTATACATCATAACAGCCATGTTGCTGGTCACCAACTCGACATTGGTGAAAATCGTCAAAACAAAACCGATGGGAAAAGTAAAAGCTGCCACAAATGTCGCGAGACCCGGATCGGAAGATCGAAGGCTAGGAGAGCCGCCTGCGACCACGAGGTTGAAAAGAGATCCAAGGGAAATGAAAATGCCGCCTAAGAAGGATTTCATAATGAGATCGCCCAACGATAGCTTGCCTTTGGATAGCCCGGATCGAGTTATGATTTGACAGGATTCTTGAGCCGAGTGAGCATCGGCGTTTTCGTACAGGCCCTGCATGTTAGGATTCAATGAGGGCGGCCGTGTTCGGGCTTCCGCGTAAGGCATCGACATTTCAAACCGTTTCTTGTTCAGAGGCAGGTGCATTCTTCATGAACGATCTCGATCGGTAAGGGTTTAAACTGACTTTATAGCTACCACGGCGGCACGTTGCTCTTACGTCGATATAATGTTGCGGAGACATTAGAGTGGGTAGATGACAGTCAGCTCTACAATATCAGTTACTGATCATGCCCGGCCGGCTTATCCGTTCGCAACTTCATCCTAGATATGACCGATTATGAGTGCCGAGTTGAGACATCTCGATGTAAGAGTAGACTTCGCATTATGAGGGCGAAGCAAACAATTCGCTATCAATGAGCGTATGCCTCATTGAGAGAGAAGGAGGAATTATGGGTCCTGTCTCCGACCGAACGCCCGCCAGCGATCGGCTCGGCTTGGGTTGGGAAGAGAGTGGGCCCCGGGAAATCGGAAAATGCCCCAAGAATCCCCGATGAACGGCCGGTCCGGGCCTATTCGGTGGCTGAAAAGCAAATTCGGAAGTGGGGGCTGACGTTGTGATGTCCCTCACCAGAATATCTCGCGGTGACGTAGTTGAAAGACATTTGTCATCATCAACCTATCGAAGCCTCTGCACCATTGCGCGGGGAACTAGACTACCGATGTCAAAATAAGTTCGAACAAACGCTGAGAATACCGCGTCGTAGTAGCAGTCACCCTCGCGCTTTTAGAAACCACGCAATACCACTGAACGTTGCCCTCCTCTCTGCACGTCAACACTCCAGCCCCCTAACAAAAAGCACAATGGGTATCGAAGGAAAGAACGTTCTGGTAGTGAGTCTCAGACCAATTCTGGGACATCGTAATCACTATCTAACAGGGCAATATAGACCGGGGCCTCCATGGGCATCGGCGAAGCTATTGCTACGGCTTTGGCGGCCAAGGGCGCCAACCTAGTTCTTCTGTCTAGGTCTGAGGTGAGCCAATGTTCATCAAGGTGAAGCTGGCAATTGTCAATTCGCAGGCTGACGGAGGCAATTCATAGCGAACCTTGGCCAAGCTTGCGAACAAGCTTTCACTCACGCACGGAAACCTCAAGATTATTTACCGTGCCGCTGATATTGGCAACTTCGACTCTGTAGATAAGGCCATCGCATCAGCAGTTGAGGCCATGGGGCAAGTTGACATCCTAGTCAACAACGTAAGTAATCTGTCTCCGAGAAGTCGCAAAAGAAACTTACAAAGAATGCAAACAGGCTGGTCTTGCGTTGGGGGCCCCGGCGACGTTCCCCGAGCTGAAGATTCAGGATGTCATGACCATGGCCAGCACCAACGTCAACGGCATGATGTACGTCACGCATTCGGTCCTTAACAGATCGATGATGAAGGAGAAGCTCGGCAAAGGAGTTATCTTGAATATTACGTCCGTTACTGGCTTGGAAGTTCCGCCTTTCCCGGGTGAGGCGGTTTATCATGCCAGTAAGGCTTTCCAGGAGGCATTCACGAACTCGATTCGCAACGAGCTGGTAAAGACCGACATCAAGGTTTTGGCACTTCGGCCAGGTGTTGTCACCACCAACTTCCATTCCCAACGAGTTGGTCACGACAAGGAGAAATACGACTCTTTCATCGAGGGATATGAGTAAGCTATTTTCTCGGATCAATGACACGCGAGGTGGCTTATAAGTTGATTCTAGTCCGCTCATATCCGACGACATCGCTCAGGCGGCTCTGTATATGCTAGACCAACCGCCCAACATCTCTATCAAGGCTTTGGATGTTGTGCCAACTGGTAGGGCTTGTTAATACCCCGCTCGAGGATCTCGATACTGACAAGATTCAAGCCCAGAGATCACTAAACGTGTTCGATAAAACATGGACCGACCGAAGCCACTGAACAAGTTCCCAACAGATGAGGCGCCTGGTACTTTAAAGGACGACATGGAATTAATCGCGACGGCAATAGCCGTTGGGAGGAATACAACATATTGTCTTCATCACCATTAGCGATAGAGTTTGAACACAATCAATAGACATTGAATTGACGGGTTCAACGTCTCTGTTATTATTTCGGCTTCTTTGCAGGGATAAGATCTTTTTGCACGGCACCACTAGCCTTTCGCAGTCTTACCCAGATCAACTTACACGTGTCTATGATGGAAGACGGCCTTTGTGTAAGGTGAGTAGCAAAATATGGTCGGACTGTCATCAAGTATCGCCATCCTGCTCAGAGGATTAGGATTAGCGTCTCCTCCGCAAGGTTCTGGTCCCTGGCCAGAGCACAGGTAAAAGATCTGGAGAGATTCGCGGAGTGATCCCCAACTTGCAAGCGTCAGATGTAAAAGATAGGTTCGCGTAGGCGACCCAACCACCTCTGGACAGCGTTGGCAAAACTCTTCGAGGTTTTGACGCCTCTGATGTTGCCAATGTCGACATCGTGATACAAGGTGTATTCATATTTTGACAGCAATGGTTTGACCAGCCAAGGCAATGTGAATATAATTTTGAGAGACGCGCGCCATCATATTATTTGAATAAGCATGTTGCGGCACAGTCAAGGGGGCTCTCTTCACAATGATGATGACATTGTTGTTCGTTACAATCTTATTGTTTTCTTTGACACGCACTTCTTCAAGCGTACCTGCCTGGATTGTAATGAGCCTTCCATTGCTGCTTTCAATCCAGAACAAAGTCCTTCATACACGACGCATTTCCTTTGTTTGTTGGAAACAATGGCTACGCTCGCTACATCGGTGCCGAGCCGGTCTATTGCTGCCAACCACACAAATGAGCCGTCGGGGTTAAGGGGTGCTCGTCTCCGCGCCAAGATCTGCTTACTTGTTTGGTATTGGAGAACCCCTGCCAATCAGTTGACGGAGGCAAGGAGGTTAGCGATGCAATTGCTGAGCAGAGGAGTGTGCATTTCTAACCGCATTAGTGCTCGGTCACTGCGGGCGCGATATGACTCATCTTCCTCTGCCTATCAGACGAACCTGTAACCGAGATTCCCTGACGTTTTGCAGTGGAAAATCATGTCATACCACGCACGAAAGCTGTACTTCTCTTGATTGCCCCGAAGCCGAATGCGCCGCTTGATTCGTTTCGACGCTCTACCTCCACTTACATCCAAGGTCATGAAAGCCATCCACAGATCGTGAAAGTGGACTGCTAGATCAATCTTTCATACCTCCCGCCTCTGAAAACCTTTGCCAAAACATGGCTGTCCCGTCTTGCTGTGTGAAAGCCTTCGAGTGGGATGGCACCCCCGTCGGCCGCATCGACAAGATCAACAATTTGCAGGTCTACGTCACCGGCAACAACCCTGATATTGCTGTCCTCTATATCCATGACCTTCTCGGATGGAGTTTTCCGAATGCCAGATTACTCGCCGACCATTTCGCCCGGGAAGCGAACGCGACTGTGTACGTACCGGACTTCTTCGGCGGAGAGACCTTGCCATTTGAACCCATTCTTCAAGGGCGATGGCACGAACTTGACCTAAAGGGCTACACCATGAGGAACTCTCGTGAGATCCGAGAGCCTGAGATCTTGGAGTTTGCTAGGACCCTGCGTCAAAAGTATAAAAAAATTGGAGCAGTGGGATATTGCTATGGGGGCTGGGCTGTGTTCCGTCTGGGCGCGAAAGAGCATCAACCTCCTCTGGTGGACTGCATTTTAACAGGGCACCCAAGCATGCTGACCAAGGAGGATATCGACAACGTCTCGGTTCCGGTTCAGGTTCTAGCCCCAGAGCATGACTATGTTTTCAACGCGGAGCTTAAGTCTCACTTCTTTGAGACCCTTCTCAAGAAAGGCGTGGCCTTCGACTACCAGCATTTCCCTGGAGTGGAGCATGCATGCTTGGTCCGCGGGGACCGAAAGAAGCCCGGTGAAAGAGATGCCATGGCAAGGGGCAAGAACTCAGCCGTCAGCTGGTTCAATCAGTTTCTTGGCTGAAATGAAGATTCCTGTTCTCCACGCAGCATCTTCACCTATTGATCGCGTACAGCAGGTTGTCTCTTATCATAAGTTGGGAGTCATTTGTTGGTCAGTACAATCGTACAGGGCAAAGACCCAGAGGGATTCAAATTGAATATCTACGTATGTATGTGTCATTCTGGAAGGACGTGACATAATTGAATGAACTGCGCAGAGATCAGGCTTATGATGAGGAGTGAAGACACACTCCCCAATGCATGGACAAGGAGATGGGCGCCATTAAGCATCATACCTTCCTCAGAGTATACTATGTCTCAAGGCCGCTGATAATACACAGTCATCTGCCGTCTAAAGCTGAAAGGCCCCCCACTCAGCACCGAACACGCATTCAACCCGTTCACTGGAGTCCATAGCGTGTACAAAGTTGCCAAAGGCCCTGTTCCGCATACGGCAAACCCACTTCTGACTTTTGTGTGTGTGAATCCATTTGGCACCGCGCAAGCCTCTAGTCCGTTCGTTGGCTTGCGTAAAGCGTATTGTTTGGCGAACCGACCGACCTCACAGACATTTAGAACGTCTCGGACAAAATTACCTATCAAAGTGTTGCAGTGCCCAAAACTTCTTGATTCCTGGTGTAGACTGCACCTGCGGGTATGTTACAGGACCAAAATCCGTTGATAAGCGGGTCTGGGATGCGTTAGACCTGCAGAAAGATGCACAAGTTCAAATCGAATGAGATGACTCTTGCCGATAGCTCGTTGCGACATGTCACCATCACCGGCGATGTGATACGGGCCTGATGGAGCGGGCGTGGAGGCAGACAAAGCTGCGAGAACCACAAGGAGCAGGAACCTCATGCTGTTAAGGTTACGGTTTTGATCGATGGATTCGGTCTCCGAATATTTGATATATCCATCTCAAGAGGAAGATCGGGGGATTATATGTCTAATCATTCTCGTTGCAAACACAGTAGATCGGATCTGAATAGTTGCCTCTGCTTCCACAGCCTACAGCGGCTGCTTCACATGCAACAACAATGGGCTCGATTGCTGTAGCATGTATCGAAAGCTCTTCAATGTTCCTAATGCTCCTCGTAGGGCTTGGAATCGGAAGTATCGGCCTATCCCTACTTGACTCTATCTCCGAACACTTCTCTTTGATCTTCGAGCTTTTATCAACGAATGCGGTGCATCGACAACACGCCGGACAGTGAGGCTAGCGCATGTTTACTTCAGCTGGGGCTGAACCAAAGCTCGACACGCATCGATTCTTCCGACATGTCAAGATCTTCTAACCCCGAAGGTTGAGCAGTAGATGCCGGGGCCTTTCCTGGATACAGTCACCTTTCTTGGAAGATGAAGGGCCGGTCTTCACACGTGGAAAAAACCAAGACTTGGCTTGGAAGTTCCAAATGGTAACTGCCAGCGATTAAATTGGCAGGCATGTTGGTTGATTACAGACACATGTTTATCTTGATGGCGCAGCAGTCAATTAGTAGAAGACTGTGAGGAGGTCGAAAGGTGATGTGATGAACAAATATTGGTGTTTCTGGCATCAGATATCACGTCTCTTGGATGAATTTTCTCGAAAACGGCAACGAGAGTGGAAGTTCAACGCGCTGATATCTTGCTGAGTTTCTCTGAAGTCATCTTCAGTTGATGTTAAAGCCTCTGCTTCCCACATCTAAATGACCTCCGAACTGCCCTCCGACCATGCCGTACGCGTGGAAAATCACACTGCCGACCCAGACTTGCACCTGGCCCGACTTGTACCGCAATCGCTAGCCACTCCATAATCACAGCATCCCCCACTGGAGCTGCACTCAAACGCATGCGTCGTCACACGCTTGGTCTTGACAGCATAGGTACCGGCTCCAACTACACAGTTGCCGCAGTAAACCCCCTGAGTAAGTCCGGTCACACATGCGCAGCCATTGTAGGTACATGCCCGCTGAGCTAACTCAGCAGGTATCGGCTCGCGGGCCTGGATGCTGGAGCCGTTGACTGCTGCAACGGTAGCTGAGATGAGCAGGATGAGAGACCCAGAACGCATTCCGACGAAATAACTTGCGATTGGCTGCAGTGTATACCATCATTAGCTTGCCTGAAGCAAGCATTGACTCGAGTTGTATCGTTCACTCACCGCTGAAGCGAGCTGAAGGGAAACGAAGTAGAGGAAGTCAACGTTGGAAAGTGTTTCACAACGGTCCCATAGGGCCTAGCTAATTGTGCCACATATTCCCCATTAGCGGCTCGGAAAGAAGCGGTGGCCGAAGACTTTATAGACAACAATCATCATCATATAGTGATGATGATGGAATTGAAACGGTGGCCAGCCTGTCTAGACTCGTTCGACTCGATGCCCGTCTGACATCGTTGGATGCGACGTTGAAGCAATGCACCCAATAGTTCTCTTATTGGGGAAGCTGGTTACTGCAGCTAGCCACTAGCTCATTCAGCTCTGGCTGCACTCGACAGAAGGAGCAAGCGATCAACCGTGCTTAACCCTGTCTCTAATGAAGGACCATGACAGGTTGGACCTGCTGACGTTTGTTTCGCTGTATGATAGGTGGCGTTGGCCATCCTCAGTCAATGGATGTTGTGATAGGCCAAAGGCGAGCCGAACACCAGCTGAAGAGGAGATGTCGGATACGAGTCGCACTCCCCCAGCTCTCGCCCCTTGGTGCAGTTGTGCCTAATGCTTGGAT